TCCGCCCAGCTGTCAGAGGCAGGCTGTCGGCCGGCCAATGGCAGGCCGCTCGGCCAGCTTCGGCTTTCAGCGCGGCTCAGCCGAGCCGAGGCATATGCGTTCGGCTCGACTGAGCTGCTCGGCCACGTTCGGGAGCTGTACGGGCTATAGTGAATAGCCCATACAGCAGCCCTTCGGTTCTGAACCGAAGGGGTCCTGGGGCCAAAGCTAGCCGAAGGATCGGCCGAAGCTACAGCTAGATCCTTTGGCAGCTTGGTGAATAGACCCCCTAGTGTATATTACAAGGTCCAGAAAGATAACAACATATATTAGACTTCTTAGGAGAAACATACACCAGTAATATATCATGTTCAATAACTAACAAATCATAATTTTATTCTGTTTATTGATAGTTTGGTTGTTAGATTGTGAAACCTTGTCAGATGGAAATATAGATGTATTTAGGATAGTTGGCATGAAGGGTGTGTCCTATGGAACATAATAAACAACTCTAGCACACCTACATCACATCCCTCAGACCTTTAGACTTGGAAGGGCCATTATGCAACACCAACCGAGGGGACGAGAAAAGATAGCTGACCCAGCAGCTCTGAGCTCTTATATACCATTGAAACTATGAAGGAATACCTAGAGTAATTTATGAGGCCCAGTAACTCTTCCAAATCAGATCAGACTTAATCTGCAAACAAATTAGATGCTGTACAGAATGAAATACCAGGATAATTTTGCTTTAGTGTTTTGTACTTTTAAACCCTTTTATTTTACTGATTCATATGACATTTATGTAATATCTTATCCAATAATGCTGCTCAACAACCCCTGCACAGAATTGGATCAGGTGCAATGTACACTGGGTCCCCTGGGGGATTAACAAGCTTCTTCATCTTCTTTAAGGCTGGATTCACATCTGGGCGTACCATAGGCGCGTTTTTTCTGCTCGTTGTGTGCGCGTTTTTTAGCGCGTTTTTTCATTCAGTTAAACGCGTGTTCGATGCTCGTTTTTATACCTCCCTGGAGGTATGATTTTTTCTTTATTTTTCCTTTCTTTTCTCTATCTTTCTTTTCTTTTTTTTTACTTTTAAAATTTTCAAACTTCCCGCCGGTTCCGCCCCTGTGTGACGCAGACGCTCGCAAGGGACGGAACCTGGAAGTCTGCAGCGGCCGGAGGACACAGCGGGGATCGCGGACAAGGGAAGTCCTACGCTGTATTCCCGAGTGTGGCTCGGGGTTACCGTTTTGTTAACCCCAAGCCACACTCAGGAATACCAATGGATACGCGCGGAAAAACGTCCCAAAGAAGCTCCTGTACTTGATTGCAACAAAGATCTGCGCTTATGGAAAGTGGACTATCAGTAGTAAGCCTAAAGCTGCTATGAGAAGTGGAAAAGGTGAGGTGTGGGTGTTGTCACAGCGCTAAAGGTCTAAATAAATGAAACATAAATATAGATATATAAATATTAAATATATAAGGATTTACAGTGAGAAACCACCCTGAAGACCTTTTCCACCGGGTGGTTTCTCACTGTAAATCCTTATATATTTAATATTTATATATCTATATTTATGTTTCATTTATTTAGACCTTTAGCGCTGTGACAACACCCACAAGCTCCTGTACTTGTTTGGGCTTAGGTGTTTTTCAGCGCGTTTCCATGGGCTGAAATACGCCCAGGTGGGAACCATGCCCATAGGGAAGTATGGGATTTCACTGTTTGAGCGTTTTACAGCGCTTCGATCAGCGCTGTAAAACGCCCAGGTGTGAACCCAGCCTAAGAGTTAACTTCGGCTGATTCTCCTCTTCAACACATTTTTTTTCTCAGTGAATGCATAGGTCACCAGTAGACACAGCAATTTTGAAGAACCTTGTCCAATTGCTATTGTTTTCACCCTGATAAGCCAGATCTGAGGGCGTCTGCAGCATGGCTCCCCTCCCCTTTCGAACATGGTATTATCTCTAGAAGAGATTCCATTCTGTTGGGTAAGGGTGGTTATTATAACAGAGGATTCACCTATTGCTTATATTTTGTTCCTGTAAACCTCTGTTTTAAATGGCTAGCAGCCTGCCACATGCACTCTGCTCTCCATGTCTGAAGATAATGAATAGGCTTTAAAATAGAAATACTTCTGAAACATTGTACTAAATGTGTCTGGCATAGTTCAGAATGTTGGATTGTGATATTAAACTAGAACTAGTTATATTTACAGAACAGCGATTTCTGTATAAAAGGAGTCCATTTGACCACTTTTTCAGGTTAAGATTTTACCTTGTGCAAAGGAGAGGCAACTCCATTGAGTGAATGTACATTGGAGAAAACTTTCCAGTACCACTTGCACAGTAAAGAGTACACAACTGCATATACTCTACCATGCCCTCTTCTATTAATGGTAGGCTTCATTATTTAAAAAAATAAAAGTTGCCATATTAATGTTGTTCGTGTTTGTTAGTTATGTGTATGTCATATGCTATTTTATCTGTTAATTCATAAAAAATGTATCTGTTTACAGTCCATTGACATGAACTTTTTCAAAGATTAATAAAGCTACGAATTAATTTTTTTTAAATGTTGTGCAGTTGTGTACATTTTAATGGTCTTGCCACTGACTCATCAAACGAGCAAAAAGTCTGAGTGATGCACCTTTAAGTTTTGGGCTTCCAAGGATCAGAATCACTGACTGGATAGGTGAATAACTGTAGATTACTGTCACACATAGTGGGAACCATGTGCTGCCCATTAGTACGATGTTAAGTAGCAGTGAGATAACTGACAAATAGAAGCATAAATAAAGGAGCAGAAGGGAAGTGATTGTTCTAGCTGCTGCCATGCTAGCATCTACACTCTGTACACTCATACCACCAGCATTCCTACGCAGAAGCCTTGCATTGGTATACAGTGATCGCAATACTATAGCATCAGTAGTTCCAACAAGTACAAGAGGAATGCAGCAGCCAAACATGCTGGCAATCAGTAAGTAGTGTGGGCTGATTTGTGATATATCTTCTTTCACATAGGGGGCGTTAGCTGTCACTAGGCTAATACTGGGTTTGGAAATGTTCCATGATACTGGTATACTAATAGTTAAGGCTATAAGAATGGACAGAGCAAGCATCCAGTTGACGACTTCTGACATCCTCTGTTTGAGCTGCATGAAAAAGGGATGTTTAAATGAGACAATATTGACATAGTAAAATCCACACAGACACACAGTGAACCAAAAGCTAGAGAAGATGGTGAAGAACAAGAGAAGAGAGAAAGTTGTGTGCACCTTGTCTGAGAAGTATAGTTCATTCCAGAGAAAAATGAAAAGATCATTGGCAATGAGAGTCAGCTGGTAAAACATATTAAACAATCCGAGTGTTGAAAGAATCAGTTCTCTTGGGCTAATGTTTCTGCCTCGGATTAAGTCCATGCCGTGATTCAGTATAATGAACGTATTGGTGAAGAAACCGATGATGGAACTGGCACACAATGAAGTAAGAGATACTACAATGAACAGTGGCAACATGTCTCTTCTTGTGTTGGGAAGCCAGTATAGCAAATATATTTCCTTTTCATTTATATTTACCTAGGGAAATAATTGGAAAATTATTTATCACACATCAGTTATGTGGTATTTTGCCAGCACCTACAAACCTTCTGCCATGTTGAGCCCACCACACATATCACAACCTGACTTTAGGCCTTGTTTACACGGGCTTGGCACTCCACCTCACTCTGAAAAGCGTTCTGCGGTGGAATGCAGAGGGGGGAGCAGCGATTGCCCAGCGTTCAGGAAGTGATACCTAGTGAAGTACAGCGCCACTACTGCATAGAGACGTGGTTTTGGTTTGGTCCAATTAATTTCAATTGTCCCGTTTGACAAGTGGCACCACCTCTCAAAAGCGACATGCTGTTGATTTTTTTGGCCATGTCGTGGCACAAAGCATTGTGGTCGCGGCAATGTATACAGCACCGTACG